TCTGTCTCTCTCTCTCTCTCTCTTTCTGTCTGTCTGTCTGTCTCTCTCTCTATATTGTAAATGCTGATTACCTTTAATTTCTGTCTGAGTTGTTATGATGGAAATCAGACCACCAGTACTTTACTGACAAAATGAATTGTAATTACTGTATGTACAATATCACTATAATAAAACAGACAGAGAGAGATACATAGAGAGAGAGAGATACATAGAGAGAGAGATACAGAGAGAGACAGAGAGAGAGAGAGAGAGAGACAGAAAGAGAGAGAGAGAGAGAGAAAGAGAGAGAGATACATAGAGACAGACAGAGAGAGATACATAGAGAGAGAGAGATACATACATAGAGAGAGATACATACACAGAGACAGACAGAGAGAGAGAGATACATAGAGACAGACAGAGAGAGAGAGATACATAGAGACAGACAGAGAGAGAGATACATAGAGACAGAGAGAGAGATACATAGAGACAGAGAGAGAGATACATAGACAGACAGAGAGCGATACATAGAGAGAGAGACAGAGACAGAGAGAGATTTTATGCTATATGAATATATAGAATTAATGTTATCACGTAAGAGTCCAAATTAGAAAAGCACATTCCACATTTTACTCCACATTCTCTCAACATTTCATCATATTTTAATATGATTTAATATTCATATTTTATTGATAGTGATTTGGTTTTGAAGCACAAATTCTCAAATCACTATGTGGGATTTTACCACTAAGAACAACATTATCACGGTCAAACTATTCCTCCTGTGGCCCTGGTGCGTCTCATACTAACTCTAAAGTGTGCCGTGGCATGTTGCTATCAGAGTATGGAGAACAGGTATAAAACTGTATGAAAAGAACTGAAAATATTCATGCTGTTGTTTACGTGTCTTGACTATTGTCATGCTTTTTACTGGGCGTTCCTAGGAACCTACGAGGTGGTTTCTGTGACTTACTGAAGCTGATATCAACCTTACAGGATGACTTGTGACTGCTGATGCGTTCCCTGTCTCTTACCCGTGCATATTCAATCTTGAGCGTACAACAACCAGCGTAGATGTCAGCTCCGTTCAAAGCAGCTTTGGCCTTCTGAGCACACTGAACGGACTCAAACCTGAAGGAGTGGGGCTAAGGAGAAGGCTCGGTACATTCTGACACACAGGTACACACAGACACACACACACGTGTTCACACACGCAGTCAGGATACTCCACCATGGCCTGGATTCCATTTCGTTTGAAGATGACGATCCTCAGCACGCTGCCGATGGGGTTACACACTGTGTACAGGACATCCTGGACCCAAAAGGAGGAAAGAAAGAGAGAAATTTGACATTCAACACAATCCGTACACTTCTATAGCTGCAGTGTGTCTTGACCTGCACAAAGCGCAGACCTTAGCATTTCATACATACCATGAAGATACTGTAGCTGCTAAGAGAGAAATAGAACTTCCTGCTGAAACATCTTCTGGTCGGTTTTTAGGGTTCTGGTAAATTCTCTTGTTTTTTAAACTCAGAAGCTCATATTCTAGAAAGAGTATTTTTGGTTGCAGCCGTTTGTTTGACACTCAGTAAATCAGTTATCACTCTGCGAGATGATGCAAACAGACATTGCCAAAGTATCTAGACATCCCAACACTCGTTCATCCGTCACTGCCTGCAGAGAGGTTGAAAACACCAAGAGATGCTTGTGCTACAGACCACATTGAATGTGCTTTGACAGGCACGTCTCACACTTAGCAAAAAGTCCTTGGCAGTCTTCTGGAGTGAGAGACGCAGAAAGAGACAGACGTCCTCATGGTGAGGAATGAAAGACGAAGACAAACCTCAGAGGAACGAGACACGTGATGCTTTTAATGGACGCTTATTAAATCTAGTTTGTTTGATAGGCGGGGAATGACAAACAAACAGACAGTTTGTTGTGTTTTTTAGACTTTTCAAGGTGTTTTTATAAAAATAATTATTTATCAAGTAGCACAATATTTTCACTCTCTTGCCTTGTCCTGTCCTCATATGGACATGTAATCCTACACAACTAAGCAAATGGTTAAATGCTACTTTAAAATCCCACAGTTAAATCCCCCTTTCAGGGCCGTGGACAGGGCCACTCGGCAAGGCGTGACAAAACAAGTATTTATAAACTTCTATATTTAATAGACAGTTTCAATTAGTTCCAATGTAGCTATACACCAGTGTAGCGGTTATGCTGCACATGGAACAAACTGCCAGAAGACCTCAGATGAAATGTTGATGTGTGCCTATGATTATGTTCTATGTTTTTATTGTATTTGATGTACTTTGTATTTTCTTTAATATTGCTTATCTGTTTAATTAACAGTAGATGTTCAGCTTTTATACGTTGCTTTTTGTCTTTATTTATGTAAAGCACACTGACTGCCTGTGTACGAAATGTGCAACAGAAATATAATGTAAATGTTAATTACTTCTGTGAATGTTCCAACGCATTGTGCTTTAGTGTCTAAAGAGGATAAGGAGTCAGGCTCTGTGTTTCTATCTCTTCTGTGGACGAACGTCTGCTCCTGATTGGAGTATAACCCATAGAGTCCATCAGAGGACTCCACCCAGCACTGTAGACTGTTCAAGTGGCAGCGCTTTACTTACACATGTGGGACTTTTAGTAAATAATCACACACGTACGTATTTGCATCTTGTCCTCCGTGTCCCTTTCAACCCCTCATGGTGTGTGTGTGCGTGCCTGCGTGTGTGCGTGTAACTGAGTGTGCGGGTGGAGGGAGCAAAATATTTCCAAGGGACCTATTAAAACAGGCTCTTATTGAGAACGGTCACAGCTAATGGAATATTGTTCTTCCTGTCCATTGGGACTTTTAGTCTGCAGCCTGATAGCAGCAACTGAAATGCTGGGTTGAGAGGATGGGTGGGGTCACTGGAGGTCTGGATTGAGAGAATAGGTCCAGGAGTTGTCCTTGTTTGTCTCCAATGATCTTGCTGGCCTGTTGATGACCTGTGTCAGCTTGTGCTTTTGTCTTGCTGGGAGGCTTTCATTCCACTAACACTGCTGGTGGTTTGTAGACCATGGACAGGTTGTGCTGTGTTCAAACCCACACGTTTCCTGAGATGAGGGAGGCCCTGTCTTGCTTTCTTGTAGATGTTGTCGACATTGTCCTGTAAAGTCCTTGGAAGTGGGTGACCTGCTCCACTTCCTGGCCCATACATGCAGCACATTAGAATTGTATTCACAATGAGTTCTAGAACAAATCCACTTACGATATGAAAAGGCCACAGATACAGATATGCGTGTGTGTGTGTGTGTGTGTGTGTGTACCGTGGTTATAGGGTAGAGGGGATTCTGTATGGACAGCAGGAGGACCTTGTTGCCACTGTTGGGGTTGTCAGCGTTGGTCGGCCTGGTGATTCTCTTGGAGGTGGAGTAATTAAAGTACGCCTGTTGTCCTGATGAACAGATGGATTTAAAGATGAACGCACAAAGCCTGCTACACACAGGCACTAATCAATGACATCAGTGAGTCTTCACAGTGAAGAACGCTGGGAATCAAACCTGCGATGTATACGGGCTCCTTGGCTCCACAGGACACACAGCGGTCGGCACTCTCCACCGCAGAGAACTCCACCAGGGCCTGACGCTTAAACGGCATCATCATCACATAGCTGAGAACATTAAGACAGGACACACACATGCTGTTCAGATCTTTTCCACCCGTCACTGGACAGACCAGCTCCTCATGTCCTCCACCCTTTGGGAGCATCGATTCTCCACTCACATCCTCATAGATCGGATTAGGTAGAGGAACCTTTCTTTGTGCTGCTGTCAACTTGGAACCGAGTGTAGAAGCCTTCCTAACACCAGTGAGGATGTGAAGGTCTTCTCTGCCTTCTTTTCATTAAAAACAAAAGTAATGACAGACGAAGCATTGAAAAGCCTAGTTTAAACTCGCTGTAGTGAAGCCGGCTCGCCTGAAGATTACGTAATCCCGTGGGGCGCGTAGGCTCCACCAGAGGTTGCAGCGCTTGGTCTTGCACCTCTGAATTTTTGTAACCTCACACGATCACATGACTGTCACAAATAGTTCACTGATAAAAGCAGAAAATGTCTGGGGATTATTCAAAGAAGGCCAGTTCGCTTGTAGACAGGGGCGGACTGGGGGAAAAAAGTGGCCCGGGAGTTCCTGTCAGACCGGCCCACTCAATACACAGCGCGTTGCCCACTCAATGCATCACACGTATCGACCAGTCAGTGGCCTACTTGGAAAAATACCCATACACTTAACATTATTTTGGATGATTACAAAGAAATTACATGTGTTTTTTTATAACATTTGGATCCACCAATTTGCCTGGATGGACACATGGAATATAATGATACTGGCTATTGTAACACTCCAAGGTAGGTATAGTTTGCTAGATCAGTGGTTCTCAACTTGTCTGGCTGCAGGACCCACCATCACCCCTTAATGACAAGCCGTGACCCATTAATGTATGCTTTTCTCAATGTAGCTCGGATAGATCGGTGCTATTCTATACAAACATTGTAGCAGCTCCACCAACACTCACAATAACTTCATCTAAATGTAAATACGGCGGCGATGTTTTCATTATTTCTACCATATGGTCTCTACACATTTAAACACAGTTTCTTCTGGTCTCTAAAAATTTCAACTCACGCGAATGAGGCAAATGTCAACTGACTTTGTATGTGAACTAGTTGCGCGAAAAAATCCCATTGTGTTTGGTGTGAACGCAGCATTAAAGTGATAAATGAGGGGACAGCACCACTTTCTTGCCTTTCCTGCAGGTATTCTAAGAAGAGAGAAAAATATTCTTCAAGTGATATTTGAATTTCTCTATATTTTTGTCACCTTCCACCTTCTCTTTCCATCCCTCTCTTAAACACACTGTGCACTGTGGTCCGTCTCTGTCCTTGTTTCAGATCTCAGTCCTGATGGATAATCAGGCATGCTGTCTCATGAAGTTGCTGTCTCACCATATGGACCCAAACTTCTCCAGGGCATCTATCAGGTCTGCTTCCACCACGGCCTCACACAGACCCCTGACATGGACCACAGGGCTGGGAGAGATACGATGGGAGTCCTCGCCATTATCCTGCAACACACACAGTCAACCACAGTTACACACACATCCAGCTCGTCTGCAGCTTGCTTCATTTGCCTACCAGAGGACCCAACATACAAAGATGCTCGGTCATGCAGCAGAAAAGTTCAACCTGCTTCAGCTTTAGCCACAATGAAATGCAATGTCATACAGCAATGCACTGTGTTGCCTTTCAAATGCATAGAGTTGCACATGTTAACATTATAAAAAATATCATGCTACTGTTCCATAGGGATGACCCCCAAAACCCTGTTTTAAATGGAAACCAGTTCTAAGTTAATCTAAACACCTGGAGTATCGATAAGGTCCGGAGTTAACGGTTCTGCTATCAGTATTTCACAAGCTAACATCTCAGAGGAAAATAACAGCGTCAAACGTCCTCTCTCTGTCTCTTTGTCTCCGGCTCAGTACAGCGTTGGACTCACTTCATGGCAGAGAGAAGAAAACATTTGACTCCAGTAGATGCTGAGAACTCTGGCTGTCTCTGTGGTAGTGGGCGTGGTCTGTGCTCAGCTCCAGGGGGAGATCTGTGGGAGTGGTTAATTGGCACAGCTGCAACCTGTTGCTAATTATCCCTCATTCGTTTAAGCAGTAGCAGGCTGGAGTTCTGGTGGCCGGTGACACACAGAGGACAAAGAGAGAGGAGCACCAGCCCATGAGGAGCGGACCGAATTGTGGACACTGGACTGCGTGTGCTTCGAGGAGCTGGGCAGCGTGAGAGAGCGCACGGCAGTTTACATTTTCTGTTTGCAATAAAGCACGTTTGTGTGAACATTGGCTGCTGTAAAGTGTGTTAGTGTTGAGGAGGACCCGCGAGTAGCAGTGAGACGGCTACACTGGCACCTGAACAGGGACTCAACAGAAGATGACAGAGCCGCAGCAGTTACAGCCAGTGGCGGCATTGGCACAGATGCTGGGGGAGATCGCGGCCATGCATCAGGAGCAGTCGGAGGCAAATCGGCGGCACTTGGAGGCTCTCCACACCCAGGCGGAGAGACAGACCAAGGTCCTGGAAAGACTGCTGTCCCAGTCGGGGGCCGCGTCATCATCTCCTCCTTACCAGCTCTTGGGCATCGCTCTGCATAAAATGTCTGTGATGGATGACCCTCAGACCTTTTTGGAGATGTTTGAGGGGGCGGCGGCATGTGGGTGCCCAGCGGGGGAATGGGCCATGCACCCGCTTCCCTTATTGTCAGGGAAGGCCCAAACCGCGGCGCTTGGCCTGCCGGCGTCCTCGCGGGGGAATTTCCAGGACATCAAAAAAGCTGTCCTGGATAGAAGTGGCTTCTCCCCTGAGGACCACAGTCGCCGGTTCCGGGGCACCAAATGGACACCCCGCTGACCGTCCCTTCGTTTATGTTCAGCAGCTGAGGGACGCAACGAGCAGGTGGCTACAGCCAGGGGAGTCTGCTGGTAAGCAGAGGATGGTGGAAAAGGTTGTGATTGAACAGTTTGTGGAGGGACTCCCAGCTGGGACGTCTGAGTGGGTGAGGTGCCACCAACCTGGGGACATGGGGGCTGCCATCATCCTCGCCGAGGATCATCTGGCCGTCCACCCTAGGGGTCAGGCGGAAGAGGGGCGTACACCAGCGCCTGCCCGACCAACTCCCCGCAGAAAGTTCCTCACGCCAGCCTCAGTCCAGCACCCCGCACCAGCTCACCCTTTCCAACCCCGCCCTAACTCTCCCTCTGTTTCCACCCTTTCCCAGGCTCCAGCTGCAACAGGCACTGTTCCCAACCCACAGGGGGGCCCTCAGGTGTCGGGGCAGGAGTGTTGGAGGTGCGGGCGGCCCGGTCACTTCCGCAGAGAGTGTCCACTCATGGAGGTTGGCCAGGTGATCCGGGTTGCTGGCCTCAGTGGTGATGCGAGGTCGTCCGACACTGCTGAGGGGAGGGGGAACTGGCGGGGCCCCGCAGGTTCCCGAAATACACTCCATGGAAGTTTGTCCACTTGAGCAGTCTCGCGCCAATACTCTACGCTTTGCCTTCGACCAAGTGATGAAAATTGATGGTCATGTGGTACACCCTGACGTATCCACACTTTTCATTGGTTAGGGATAGACTGTATAGTGTGAGACTCAGATAGGAGAAGATATCACCCAATTGTTGGTGCCGGGAAGCCGTCGGGAAATGGTTTTCCGGGCGGCTCACTATAACCCAATGGCTGGTCACATGGGGTATGACAAAACACTAGACCGGATAATGGCCCGATTCTATTGGCCTGGGATTCCGGGAGATGTGCGCTGTTGGTGTGCCTCTTGCCCTGAATGCCAACTAGTGAACCAACCGGCCATCCCAAGAGCGCCGTTGCGCCTATTGCCACTAATTGAGGTCCGGTTTGAGCACATTGGCATGGACCTCATCGGGCCATTTCACCGGAGTGCACGGGGATATCGCTTTGTGTTAGTCCTGGTGGACTACGCAACACGATATCCCGAAGCGGTGCCGCTGCGCAATATCTCGGCAAAGAGAGTTGTTGTCTTTTCAAATTGAATTTCTAAATGTTTCTTCAGTGCCTCCATGTAAAAAATAATTTTTGCACTACTGCTGTCATGTAATGTTACACCATGCATCATCATCATCATCATCGTGTTGTCATTCAGCTCTTTTATATTTTCAGTTTACTTTAACGGCCATGTATTAGTGAGAAAAAGGCTTTAGCTGACAACAGTTGTTACAGTCTGTAAATTACTTAAAATATTTCCCTTGCCCCACATTGAGGAAAAAATACATTTGATTATCTTAAGTGATGAAATAAATCCATGTTATAACTTTTTTTTTTTTTTTTTTAAGTAAAAGTACTGATTCTCTAGTTCAGGGAAAAGGATGTTATGACATATAGTGATGAAATGAATCTGTTTGTCACAGCAATCCTTTTGTATTTCAAATCCAGTATTTTCTGATCAAAATAGGATCTATTGTCTTGTTTTTAAGTGAAGATATTTGAAAAAATATATTGAAATATTAATCTATAATTCTATTTTGGGTATATTGTTATATTAAATCGGGTATTTAAATAAACATCTGTAGAACAATCAATAAATTAGTTGTTAGATCGGTTAATTAAAAAAATACCATTACGAGCAGCCCTTTGATAGGTAAATGTCTAATTGCATTGCAGGAGTCAATGGTGACCAAATGTTTGGCTTTGGTTTTGAGAAAAAACAGACACTTCAGGCTTTTCTTCGTAAAACTTCACAAGACTCCTAGAAGGGACCAAGGCCTATCCTGGTCCCCAAGTGTCCGTGGTCTGTGGAAAGGTGAACCTCGTAGAGTGACCACCGAGTGTAAGCAGTGAAAAGCTCCACCAAAGCTTCAGTGCACCATCAGGCTGAGATCTACGAGGGAAAAAGACTCCCACACCAGTTTGAAAGTGATGCAACGTATTTTAGCAGTGAGCTGAGAATGCTTAGCAGAAAAATAGACTTCTTTCTGTTGGAAAATAAATGAGTGGAAGTTTGAAGAAGCTCCATATCTCCCAGTGTTTCCGCTTGAGTAAATATAAGACATTGGTGGCAAGCAGGAAACCAGTGGTCACTAAAGAGCACAAGGCCATGCTGCAACACAACAAGGCTCTTTTGGACCGTCAGTCATAAATATGGAGTATTATCGAGGAAATGAAGACAGGACTGAGAGAGAGAGAGAAAACATGTGAAAGGGAATTCAAGTCTAATCCTCACACTTCTCTTGTTTCATATTTTTATCATATCTTTCTCATGTTTTCTGTCTCTTTCCAACTTTGATCTTTCCCCTCTTCTGATTGTCTCAGTCTCCCTCTATCAGCTATCCCTTCCCCCATCTTCCTCTTTTGCGTCCTTCTCATTCACATTCCTTTTAGTCTATTTATAGACGGCTCATCTGAGTGTTTGGAGAGGAAAGTGGCATGAGACTAACTTTAGTCTGTTGAGCAGGCTGCTGGCTTCTCTGTTTCAGACATATTAGCATTATTTATGGGCAACACCTAGCATTCACACTGTTTATCAGTGTGTTCTGTATTATCTGCATCTGAAATTAAGTACTTTGATAAACTGGCTGATGCAGATTTGAATAAATGAATATGACAAAAATCAATGTTTCTTATACAATATATCCTCTGATTTTCCTTCAATGACTGTTATTGATACATGTCTACTGTTGATGCAAACCTTTCTCTCTGCATCCTGATTCCTTCCATCTAAACCAAGTCTTCCTACAGTAGCTGTGCCATATTCATCTATCAATAACACCAGGACATGGCTGTCCTTCAGGGAGAGTGAGTGTGGGCCCTGGGTGTATTATAAACGTCTCACCTTCGTTTTGTATGTCAACAACACAACAGTATGGAAGCAGGATGCTTTGCACACACACCAGTTATATTCTTCCAAGCGTGAAACCACTTCAAGTTTTGGACCAACTGGGAAATGTGTATGGCTGGACCATAATGTTGGACTGATGGACTTCTAGCTTGTTTGGTAGGTATTTGGTTTCTGATTTTAGAATATTTGTTAATGTTTTCTTTATACCCCTTTGGATTACCATCATGCTTACAACACACCAAAAAGCAGAGACAAAACGCTGGCGTTTAGGGAGAAAACAGGATTATGAGGGAAGGTGTGCACACACAGAGGAGAGAGAGGACACGCTGAGTGCAGTACAGAGTCCACACGAGATGTACTCATGGACTCATCACGACACCTTTTATCTCCGAGCGTGACAGAGAAAATGTAGTGCTTTAAAGTGACAAAAGTCACTGCTGCATACTGACACTAATGCAGCCGCTTTAAAACGAAAACGATCTCCGTCCACACGCCGGTTCAGCATCGTGTTCGAGATGATCTCCGTCCAGACTAAACGCCTGAAAATGAATATCACGTGAATATTCACGTACACTGGGCATGCGGGGGTGTAAACAGGAAGTAGATTGGTTGCTTAATTTAAAAAATACGACAGAGTAATAAAGTAGTCTTTAATAATGAAAGGTCGTGTTTGATACTTAAGATCTTCTCTAAAATCTTCCTCGATGAACTCAAACACACATTTCGTGGACCTTTTTTTTTTTTTTTTTTTTCAGACTTAGTTACAACGCTGCGGGTCTTGCTCCATCTCTCTCACACACATCACATTTACTTTAAAATGAACACTTACACGTAAAGGTTTACTAGATTATGATCCATAAATGTGGTCAACACACGTCTCTCACTCGTTTCCTCGGTTTCATTGTTTCTGTTCTCACTCGTAGCTCTGCTGGTGTCTGAAGTCTCTGTCTACTGGAGAGCAATTACTGCTTTGTTCCTTCATAGTTTATGTGTGGACTTCACAATATTTGTGAAGAACAAAATAAGCATTATTAAGAAAAGGAACGTCCTCCGTTTTGCTGCTAGTAAAGACAACAAGGTCAGCAACACCTGTAATCAGTTGCCCATGTTGAATTAACCTGGTAGTCGATCGGTAATCAATGTTGTTTGGGATCTTCCGGGAAAGGGTCAGGTGATAGGTGTGTGACGAACCAGGGAAGGACATGTCATGACTGCTAAGAACCAATCAAGTAGCGAACGTGTCTGTGGGCGTAATCGTTTCCAAACTAACACAAGAACCGGCTGGCCAACCAGCCAGCGAGCGGTGAACAGCTGTTTGTGTGGCGTGTCTTCCGTCACTTCCTGTTTCCTTTACTTCCCGTTTCCTTCACCTACATTCCCCTGGGTCCTAAGCAGGGGCGGCATTCCCCCGATAGATAGATAGATAGATAGATAGATAGATC